TCTCTCTCTCTCTCTCTCTCTCTCTCTCTCTCTCTCTCTCTCTCTCTCTCTCTCCCTCTCTCTCAGAGCCTCTCCCTCTCATAATTTGAATGTTGGGACGAACTGTAACGCGGTTTATGAGGTAAGTTGCGGGTGCAAGGTTGGAATACGGAAGTGGCACGAAGGCGGGAAAGTGGAAGGAGCATCGTCGAGAGTGCCGAGTCAGGTCTTGGAAAGAGGCTCGTGGCGGAGAAACGGAAACCCGCGGGAAATGAAGGAAGGAAGGATAGGCGGAGCAAGAAGAGGTCGTGCTTGGTGTCGCGGTGGTACTAATTAAACCTTAACAATATTAGTTCAGGTAAGATGTCTATATAGAACCGGGTGGTAGCCACCGCCAGCCGCCTGTGCTTTCTTACGAAAATCCAGTGGTTTTCGGTAATAGAGGCTTGCGAGCGTAAACTCTGCCAGAGACAGAAGGGTTGCGTCAGTGGATGGCCAAGGAAAAGCGGTGGGTCGTGTTGGTGGTAACGTCGGCGGGATGAACGCTCAAATATCGCCTAATTAAGCACATTCGAGAGTTTCGAGGAATAATGTGTAGGTACCCGCCACGAGAAAGTTTCGACCCATTGAGAGGAAATGCTCCATCCTCTTCATCATCTTCGCCATCGTTCTCCGCGTCGTCGCGTTCTCCTGGAGCCAACCTCTCGTTGACACGAAGCGGTTTAAGCTCGACTAATTGCAAGAGACAAGATTCAAGCGTTAGCTCTTGCACAAGGCAACATGACAAGTATATACGCGTATCAATGTCTGCGGAGGCTTTGGCGATGACATTTATTGCTTCTCAAGAACGATTGTTTTGCATGTTTATTCTGCTTTTATTTTTAGTGTAATTAACTATTTTGAAGTGTACTTAATATAATTAAAATTCTTTAAGCTAGCCAGATAAAGCTAGTCTCATTTTCTGTATAAATCTGACATTAAAGATGCATTAGAAATATTCAAATAATAATCAAGGAAATCCAAAATAGGTACAAAAATATAAAAGAAAATAAATGAGTTCAAGAACAAACAAAACGATATCCAATATTTAAAAAGTTTAAAAAGTTAAACGTGCGTTTCAAGAATTCAAAGAAAAAATAATTTCTCAATATATACTCATATAGTAATACTCAGTAATTTGTTTATCAAATGTGCCAACATCGTAATAATGAACATAAATACAATTTTTAGACGCTTAAACTGTACATTCTAGATGGTGCCAACTAGTGAGCGCAGTATTAAAGTTGATTTAAAGGGACTACTGATAAGAAACAGCATTCTCCGGGGAGCTACGCGAAACGCTCCCCTCTAATTTTAATGAAACTTTAATGATATTTAGAGGATCTCCCGGAAATGGATAGCCTCTCGTAAATTTCATACATAATGATGTAATATTTCACAAATCTTTTAAGGACCGAATTGTTTCATCCTTAAACAAATGTAAATTTAATGCAAATTTATCGTTCTAAAGACACTTTAAAAATCAGAATTATCAAACGTAATTGTGTGTTTCTCTAAGAATAAATATATTAAAATCAATTCACAATTTCGAGGAAGATGTTGCGTACAATAATTATTGTCAAATTCCAAACACAAACTATTAAATTTTAAACATATTTATATTTAATTATGATATAAAATTATGTGCACTGAATATAGCCCTTATTTTATTCTTTAACATAAGCATTAAATGTGAAATTACGAAATGTATAATCATAATATTTAAAAATTGCAATAATCAGTTAAATTATTTTTTTCAATAATAAACATTAAAAATGTATTATCGAATAATGTGCGACTATTAAGAAAATTTATTAACTATAAATAATTACAATTAATAATACTATAATAAATATAAAATATAATACTGATATCTTAGACTCAGACAAAGCTGTTATAAAAACAGCAATTTGACTTTAAGCAACCAATGTAATTTATGACATTAGTAGGTACTCGTGTGGTGCGAAAATTTATACAATGCATAGACGATATTGAAGAAAATCCTTCGCCTGGTTCTAAAAATATAACGAGTTTGAACCTGATATCTATACATCAACCTAAGATAATAAGTAATATTCAATTTCATTTTATCCACTTAGATGAATAGCCTAATATAAGACAGCACTCAAAGAAAACTTTATTTTCATGCTGCCGATTTGTAGAAAGCTTATTACGTCCTGAAAAGAAGCAATAACTTTTGAGTCACGTAGTAACAAATTTGGCTTATTTTAAAGTTAAGTTTATACAATCTTAGACAAACATCTGGCTCAACTGTGTTCCCCCAAATTATTAGTATTATTTTTTTAATTCAAGGTTTGTATAGAACAATATTTAGATTTCTGTAGATCTAGATTTGAAATTGAATGATCTTCCTAAAAATCTTTTATAGAGATAAACCTCGAGATAAACAAATTCATTATTGTTAT